CTAAAATTTTTATAATGGTTCATCTTAACAACCAAGATTGCGTCCAGTTTTTAATCCAACCAGATTGAGTTCCATTAACTTTCAACAAAGTTACAAGTATTCTTTAAACAACAAGTCTCTCCAAGCTTAACAACAAGTATTCTTTCAAGAAGCCTCTTCCAGCTTAACACCAAGTATTCTTTCAAACAAGTCTCTCCAAGTTCAACACCAAGTATTCTTTCAAATAAGTCTCTCCAAGTTCAGTACCAAGTATTCTTTCAAACAAGTCTCGCTAGGTTCAACACCAAGTATTATTTCAAATAAGCCTCTCGAGGCTCGACCCTTACAACAAGGTAATAGATGATTACAAGGTTGTTTTGTCTCTTCTAGACGCGTTTCAACCAACTATGAGAGCTCAAATATTCTACAAAGAAATATATACAAAATTTACAATAAGTGTTTCTTTGTATGCGAGTTTTTGCCCTATGTATCTCAATATACTTCACGTTCTTCCTTGAAGGCTACATCCTTATATAATAGCTTCAAAGAAAATGACTGTTGCGACGATTTTAAGTTGAACTCACAAGTTGTTTCATGAGTTGTTTTGTCTGTCTTTACTGTTGATTCTAGAGATTACCGTTATTTCATTTAATACGAACATTAGATGTCTTTCAATAAAGCATGTATCTCTTAAATCTTCCAAATAGCAGAGTCTTGTAAATAGTAAAGAAGTAATGTAAACAACAATTGAACATATGATTATCATACAATTTGCATTAAACAAAAATGATTACTATATCAATATGGAAATAATTATATATATATATATATATATATCAATTTATAAACAAATTTTTACATCATTTGGTCAAATACTTTTTTGATATTTGACTTTTTTTTTCTTCTCTAGATTTGTGCAAGTCTTTTTTTTTTTTCTTTTTCCAGTGTTGGCCAAAAAGCCCACGATCTGACCTTAAGTTGAAAATCAGATCTTGCAAAAAAGCAGCCAAGTTGCATCAGATTAATGGATAAAAACAGTCACAAGTCTATAAATAATGAGACTGAAATCAGGCAAGAATAGAGGTTAAAAAATTTGAGAGGAAAAAAAAAAACAGAAAGTGGTGTTTGAATTATTAATTGAGAGCAAGATTATAATTCTTATATCCTTTCATTTTGTTAGAATCTTGACCCTGTTAGTGTTCTTTCACCATATAAAACCACGCACACACCTAAATAGTTTTTCATTCTTCCAGCCTTTGAGAGTTTGAGTTTGTTCACTCGCTCCTACTTTCGGAGAAGCACGTGGGCTTGGCCCAATCTACATTTCCATGACAACTCTTGTTCCTATTTATTTTGGTTCATTTCCTTTTTTTTTTATAATTACACCTCCTTTTAAAAAAAATAATTAAAATTTTCAAAATATTTGTAATTTTTTTATTTTGTATCTTATATTTTTTAATTTTTTAATTTTTTAATTTTATATTCACAACATTTAATTTAATACTTTTTTTTCACACATTTTCTCTCCTTTTTCCAATTTTTACATGTACTTCCTTACCTTTCCTTTACCCCACCTATTTCGGTAGCATGTGAAAACAAAAAGAGGAAAAAAAAGTGTGTGAAAAAAAAAAGTAACAAATTGAAAGTTAAAAATGTAAAATTAGAAAATTAAAAAAGAAATACTATAATATTTATATATTTTTTTAAAAAGGAGGTGTACTTATTAAAAAATGGAGGTTATATATCATGAACATTTATTTTAGGTGCACATATTGGGCTTATACCCACCACCCTCCTTTACTGATCCTCTGTTTTTTTCAGGTTTTTGGGAGTGATCTAGTGTACTGTGTGCAACCTGGTGGGCCTAGTATTTCTTCAAACCATAAACCTATACATTTTAATAATAGAAAACTATTAAATTATAATCTTCCAAAACCCTTTAATATAAAAGAATAGAATAAAAAAAACTAATTGATCAATCTTCACATATTATTCTTTTATCCTATCATTTTTTCTAAAGAAGAAAAAAAATGGTTTTACTAAACCCACGTTTATTGTGTTTGTTAACTTATTGATTTATTATTGTCTCTATTGTACATTAACAAAAGTTTTATTTTGAGTTTTATATTAGATTATAAGATATATGTAAAAGTATAAATTATCATTGTTGAGATAAAAAACAAAAAAAAAAAGATTTTTTTATTTTTTTTCTATTTCATTATTTAAATAAATAAAAAAACTAGTATTATTTTCTTAAATATTTCTTAGTTTCAAATAATAATAGTAAATTAATTATATTACTTTCCCCATATATCACTTTGATTTTTCATTAGATTATAAGACATGAAAAAGTATGAATAAGAAATGTAAAACATTTAAGTACAGTGAAATATAAAAAATATTGATAATTTTGTTTTTTATTATAACTCTTTTTTATGTATATTATTTTTTATTATATTATATAGATAATAAACTCATCTATCAAGCCTAACATTTTCTTTATAAGTTTAAATTCAATCCTTTTAATTATAGACTTTTGTAAAATCCTAAACTTAATCATTTTATTAAATATGTCAAGTTAAGCTTTAAACAAGTTAAGTCATAAATTACTGTTTAAGGTCTAATTTATTTTCATTTATTCCCTTTTCACCAATGTTTCCACTACTATCACAACTATTATTGTTGTCATAACCACATTCGTTGCTACCATTGCCAGGCTAGCGACAATAACCATAATAACGACAATAGTGGTGAATTGGTAATGGTAATAATAATAGTGGTGATAATAGAAATGACAACAATAATGATAAAGATAATTACCATAATCACAATATTTGGTAATTTTATTTGTAAATTTTTAATTTAAGTTTTCATTTTAAATTAAGAATTAAGCTTATAATTTTTTTTTCTTTTCATATAAAAATATCATTCTCATAAATTATAACATACATGCTCTCTTTCTATGTATATATGATGGATTTAAATATATATATATATATTATATTATATGTATGTGTGTTTTAAATAAATTTTATCATAAATTATATTTATTTAATAATAGATTTTGAATATAGATAGATCCATTTAAAAAGATTTTGTTTAATTTTATATTAACATATCAAAAACAAAATATAACAGTATTTGTAGAGACTTAAAGCATGTTTATATCTTAAAAAAAGTGTTTCCTTTTAAACAATGGTAAAAATTTTTTTTTTAGCTAGAGTCTTATATATATATAAGACACTAAGGAATTTATTAATATAAAATATTATTACATATTTTAATTAATATCCATAAAATAATTAATATAAAAAAAGGCTTAATTGCATTTTTTCTCTCAAGTATTGTAATTGTGCAATTTTGATCTTTAAAGTTTTAATTGGGTAATTTTAGTTCCTTAAAGATTACAATTGTGCGATTTTGATCCTTCAATTTTTAATTGAACAATTTTTTAGTCCATTGAATAACATAATTGTGTCATTTTAGTCTCTCTCATTAAAAATTTAATAATTTTAATATATATTTATCTATTCAAGTTAACGTATATTATAATTTTCATTATTGTATCAAATGATATATATTTATTATTATTAAATAAATAAAATTTATACATTATTATTTTTATAATATTACTGATAAATTAATATCAATAATATTATTAGTATATTTATAGATAAACTAATAATTT